TGAATCCGTACCCCCTTTTCATCCATTCTGTCTTATTATTTCGGTCCTATTCTAATCCTCGTGTCAAGAACATGCGAGGCGTTTTCCATGTTTTATAACCAATGACGTAAATATTCAGGCTTTCCGCGTGACACGAACAGGTTCGTCCCGAATATGAAAACACGACCCACGGTCCCTCAATCACCATTAACCAATGCACATTTCGAAAATGTTTTTCTTCAATGGTTTTTTTCACCTTCGTGAAAGTGTGTGATTGGTTAACGAAACCGCTCAGGCGAGTCGTCAAAATTTCGTTACGTTAAGCCCTTTTCGTAAGACCACGAAAAGGGTTTTTTCAAATTATATTATTTGCGTGTTTAGAGCCTGCGCTGCTTGCGGAAGGTCGAGAACGAGGTGTTACTTCTATTTTCCGCGGTAATTCTGACCAGACGACAAATGTGCTGAACGTTTTTTAAGAAGCCACATGAGCCCTCACATGACACGCGGCGAAGTCGCTGGTAACCTGGCCCACGGGTCAATACGCCAAGGCACCCATCGTGAACAGAACGAGTAAAACGGCCTACGCCACCCCACCTAAAACCGTACGTGCTACTCGATAATCCATTTTGGCTGTAGTGAACCGCTCTTTTTCGTCCTAGTCCATATTTGCGAGTCGCGGATTTGGAGCATAGAGCATACCCCCTGTACCTCGTATTTGGCCAATGTCGGGCGCATCGAGCGGTGAGAATCGAAGTGGTTGGAAACTGGCAGATGCGGCTGGATACGGCGGGTTTGGGCTGTTTCAGGGGACGAAGGGATACTGGGGGAAGCGGGAAGGTACGGAGGGGTCGGGGTACGGGCGGAAATTGTGAGGGCTGGCGGTGTTGGGCGCGATTGTTGAACCGACGGAAGGGGTGCACTGTTCGCTGGTTCAAATTGATGAAGATTGGCTGTTTACGGCTGTGAGTTGGTGTGGCAGAGTTGGGGGGAATGCTCCTAGGCGTGCCACGTCAGTATCGCCGATAAGGTTGCACTCGTTACATCCTGTTTGCTTGAATTGGTGTCCTACGACGGAAATAGATTTCCATGTTCTTTCAGTATGATTTCTTTTTTGTAATACCTGATTAGACCTAGTAGTTTTTTTTCCAGCCACCTACATTGTATGCTCCAAGGGTTGGAATTAATTTTGCTTAAACTGGTCCGGGCCGATGTTTTTAGATACCATTTTCTAGTACGAAATATTCATTTTTCCGTTCTATTTCACCCCTTGTGTGCATTCGAAACAGCAGTGGTAACTTTTCTTGTTTGACAATACGTCGTATCATGGTAGTACATCGTGTTATGTTTATGTATGTTTTGTAATGTTGGTTAACTGTTGGTTAAGTGTTGGTAAACTGTTGGTTATAATGAAGTGCATTGCAACCCACCCATTATCGCAAACCTGACTCTGAATCACTTCGTTAATGTCTCAAGTGTTGTTGCACGGATCGCGTCAGAAGTCTTGGCGCGCATCCCAGATTTAGATGTTTGCGCGGTTCGGGCACAACTCTTCCCTCGCCGAAACTTCATTTAGCCTTTTTCAGTCGTCTCCCTGGTATTCCATCATGCAGTAGTATTTTCCTTAAGATTCATTCAGGGTGGTGCCTAGTACCTTGCAGTAGGGCCTGAGTCTGATTTTAAAGTAGCGCCTTCAATCTTAGCGTGCACCGCGATATGACATAGGAGGTTGCCCGAGTTTCATAGCATTTCCACCGACGTTGACAAGGTATGGAAGCAGTTTCATAACATTTCCACACAAACTACCTTCCACCTCTATCATTTCCCGCCGCCCTTCCATTGCGCCGCCCCGTGGGTATCTTTTTCTGCCTCCCATCGCTCTCTGTTCGCCACCATCTCTCGTCACCGCCTCCCGTTCCGCTAGCCGGCTCCATTTCCCTCTCGCCGCAGCGTGGGTTTCACGATCCGCCCAACGCGCTCCCCCACGCTCCCTCCCTGCTTCCCCTCGCTCGTAATCGATTCAGGTGTCGCTAGACACCTCTCCTCTCCGAAGCTCCTTTGCGTTTTCCCGCTCTCCGCTCTTTCCCACTCTGAGCAGTTTACCGCTCGCCGCTACTGTATCCGCGTTTTATTTCTCCGCATGCCCCTCTCTCCGATATTTCCCACTCATGTCACTGTGTTTCATCTGAAATTTCTCTGCTCGTCACACCCGAAACCACGGTCGCAGGCCGCCTCTCCTCTCCCACGGTCGCTTGCCGCCTCCCCTCTCCCAAGGCCGCACGCCGCCTCCCCTCTCCCATGGTTCCTTGCCGCCTCCCCTCTCCCAAGGTCGCATGCCGCCTCCCCTCTCCCACGGTCGCACGCCGCCTCCCCTCTCCCAAGGTCGCACGCCGCCTCCCCTCTCCCAAGGTCGCACGCCACCTCCCCTCTCCCAAGGTCGCATGCTGCCTCCCCTCTCCCACGGTCGCATGCCGCCTCCCCTCTCCCACGGTCGCATGCCGCCTCCCCTCTCCCACGATCGTTTGCCACCGCCCCTCTCCTGCACTCGCGTGCCACCTCCCCTCTTCTCCTCCCGTTGATGTTGGACCGAACGGCCCCTCCTCCCTTCTCGCGGTTCCCCTTGTCTCGAAAGGCCCCTTCCCTCATGTCTCGCCGTGCCCCTTGTTGTGGCTGCCTCTCCAACGCCAACACTGATCCCCTCTCTTCTTTCGACTCCTCCCTCCAGCTCCCTCAGCACTTGTAACAACCCTTGCCCTTATATCATGGGCAACAAGGGTTGAAGTCCAAACCCAACATCCAAGATCCTAGGATATAAAATGGAGTACAAAAATCAACTAACGATCCCCTAGCGTAGTATTTAGGAGGAACCTCCTCTAAGAGATAGCTTAAGCTTGAGGAAGGCCCTTGAAGAAAAGTGCTTGAGACTCTGGTTGGGTGGGGCTTCCCCTAGGAGATCTCACTAGTAGCCACTAGTGTAGGGAAGCTTGTGAGGAGAGCTCATGACTTAGAGAAAAATCCCATTTCAAGATTGATTTCTTGGAGTGGGAAGTTGAGAATGAGCTTCTCAGCTCAGACCCCTTCCAATGACTCCCAGCAGCTGCTCAACCTCCTCCATGGCTCCAAGGAGGTGAGCTAGCTTATGTGGCAAAAGGGTTGGATTTCCAACCAATGAGATGTTTACAGCAATATATTCAGATTAGCATATAGTGTACAGCATAAGAATATTCGAGTTGAGTTGGCACTGCCAACCAACTCCCTGGTTCTTATTGGTCGCAAATCCAACCATCGCGTGAGTTGGGAATTTCGCCAACTCAATTTGTACAACTAAAATCTGATTGGTCCCAAGTGTCGACCAATCCCAATCATCCCCTCCCAACCCTTCCTTCCCATTTCGCGCTACCTAGCATAGGTAGCCGATTTGTGGAAAGCGGTTGAGAAGGTCGTTTCTAGGCCCGCGTACTGTGCAGAGGCCATGCGTTACACTCCTCCCCCTCCAGGTGGCAACGTCCTCGTTGCCGTAGAGTGCTTCTGGGGACGGGTGCTTCGAGCGCGGCGAACCACATTACGACCAGGGTCAACACCATCCACTAGTTGTGAGGCTGCTCTTTGAGCCAGGTCTTTCAGATATCCGTGAACCGCAGTTTCGGTCAAATGTTCCTCTGGCTCCCATGAGTTGTGTTCAGGCCCATAGCCTTTCCACTTAATGAGGAACTCGCGTACTGTCTTGCAGCCGCGCTGTCGATCACGGTGCATGAGCACACGCTCGACCTCATAAAAGAGTTCCTCTCCGAGGACGATCGTTGGCGGAGGTAAGTACTTGCCTTCAGAAATATACTTATTGAGCAGAGACACGTGGAAGACATTGTGAATCTGCAATGTTTTGGGTAACTTCAACTTGTAAGCTACCACACCAACGCGCTGGATCACCTCGAACGGCCCAATCCATCGAGGGAACAGCTTTCGTGCCCCAGGGATTTTGAGACGAATGTTCTTCGTGCTCAATAATACCTTGTCTCCAACCTCAAAAGAGACTTCCCGGCGTTTCATGTCGGCATAAGACTTTTGTCGCTGCTGAGACAGCTGCAGCCAGCGGCGAGCAGACTTGAGCGCTTCTTGCTGCTTGCCCATAAAGTCTTTCGCGGTAGGGACTCGCAGTCCGCCTATCCCATGCGTAGAAGGTGTCGTGGGATGCCGACCACAGTTCAGAATGAAGGGTTTTTCATGGGTACCTTCATGGACGGAATTGTTCACTGCGAACTCAACCACAGGTAACAAGTCATCCCAATTATCCTGAGTTGGGCCAATGAATGAACGAAGCATTTGCTCAAGAGTACGATTCGTCCGCTCTGTCTGCCCATCCATTTGGGGATGGAAGGCTGACGACATCTTTAGCTTCGTTCCGAGTGTCCGTGTAACTTCGTGCCAGAACCGGCTTGTAAAGCGCGGATCTCGATCGGACACCAGCACACGCGGTAACCCGTGTAAGCGGAACACGTGTGCTACAAACAACTTGGCCGTATCTTCCGCAGATACGTCTGTTGTAGTAGCAACGAAGTGCACCATTTTGGTCAGTCGATCCACAAAGACCAAGATCGCAGTATGACCGTCTCGTGTTTTTGGGAGGTCTGTGATGAAATCCAGTGAGACACTCTCCCAGGGTTCGTCTGGAATCTCCAGTGGTTGAAGCAAACCACCAGGCTTTTTCGTGTCTGACTTGTTGCGTGCGCATGCATCACAACGCGACACGAATTGTTGGACCTCAGTCCCCAATCCAGGCCACCAGTACACGTCACTTAAGGCCCACCGGGTTTTCTTGATACCCAGGTGTCCCCCGTACTTGGTGCTATGCACTTCCTCAATTATATCATTCCGCAGGTTACCCACGTGGGGTACCACAATCTCTTTCTCTCGCCACCAGAGCTCATGCTCGTACTTGAGGCCCTTCGTATTTTGTGGGTTCTGAAACCAGGAGTCAATATGGTATCCTGTGCGGATGCGTTTCAGAAAACCACTGAAGGTGACCTCACTCACTCGAGCCACGGCAAGAATACCGAAGCAAGCAGCAACCACTGCCTTATCCTCGGTTTCTTCAAGCCCAGTCGCTGCCCCTATCGGCTGTCTGCTGAGGGGGTCAGCCATGTTCGTAGAACCTGCACGATATCGAATATCGAATGTGAACCCACTAAGGAGTTCTGCCCAGCGGGCTTGGCGCCGAGTGAGCGTGGCTTGAGTAGAGAAATAGGTGTTCGGACAGTGGTCTGTCGTGACCACAAACTCCACACCTTCCAGATAACATCGCCATGTTCGCAGCGCATGCACGACCGCCAGCAACTCTTGTTCTGACGTCGTATAGCGCTGCTCTGCCGGGGAGTTTCCTACTCTCAAATGCCACTGGGCGGCCCTCCTGCAAGAGTACCGCCCCAATCCCTACTGTCGAGGCGTCTGTGACCACCTCATAGGGTTTAGAAGGATTTGGCAATACCAGAACCGGAGCATTGGTCAGCTTTGTTTTGACTTTGTCAAATGCCTCTTGCATTGTCGAGTCCACTCCCATGCACTACCCTTTCGGGTGAGTGCTGTCAGAGGGGCAACGACAGTTGAGTAATTTTCCAAGAACCGGCGGAAATAATTGGCCAGGCCTAGGAAGGACCTGATCTGGCCCACGTCTTGTGGGACGGGCCAATTCTGAACAGCCACCACCTTCTTGGGGTCGACTTTAAGTCCGTTTCCCGACAAGATGACCGAGGTATTCCAGCTCGCGTTTGTAGAAATGGCATTTCCATAAACGAGCATAGAACTTGTGTTCTCGCAACTTTCCTAACACCCATTTTAGGTGTTGAGTGTGCTCCTCTTCAGTCTTGGAATAAACCAAGATGTCGTCAAGGTAAACCAGAACGAAGTGCCCGATTGCTTCGCGGAACACATCGTTCATGGCCCTTTGAAAAGAGGCTGGAGCATTGGTCAAGCCAAAGCTCAGCACACGCCATTGAAAATGGCCAAACGGCGAACGAACGCCGTCTTGGGAACATCTTCCTCAGTGATGCGCAGTTGGTGGTACCCCTGTGCCAGATCCAACGCGCTAAACCACTGAGCACCCTGGAGTCGATCGAACAGGTCTTCTATCCTTGGAAGAGGATATCTGTTCTTGATCGTGATCTTGTTTAAGGCGCGGTAGTCGACGCACATGCGTAAGCCACCACCCTTCTTGTTAACGAACAAGATTGGTGCTCCATATGGTGATGCGCTTGGCTCAATCCATCCCTTCCTGAGGTACTCCTCAATCTGTTGTTTAGCCTCCTCGTACTCAGCTGGACTGAGGCGATACAGAGGTCGAAACGGTGGGAGCTTTCCAGGCTCCACAGGGATGGTGTGGCCCGGCGCGGTCAGGAGGGAGTCCGTCTGGAATAGACTCAAAAACCTCCTTAAACTCATCCGCCAGTACCTTCATTTGAGGTGGAAAATCCTCAATGTCTGGCGTTGGGGTTCCAGCTTCCTCGAGCTGTACGACGAAAAGTGTGTTAGCAACACGGTAATGCTGTCCGAATTGACATGCAAGAGCAAAGCACACGTCTGCACTTTTCGTAATTTGAACCACCGGGATGGTTGTGTCGACAGACACCTGCCACTGGATTGGTTCACCATTCTTGGTGAAAGAAACTGTGTTATCCTGGAAATCCAAAATAACCTCATTTGCACGTAACCAATCCATTCCCAAGACTACTCGACACCCGCAAGCAAGGGGAGAACGTAAGTGCGAATCTTTTCGCTATAGCCTTGGATTTCCATGTCGATCAATGTGTCCTTTGCTTGGGATAAGACTATCGTCCCAAGACAATGGGACATGACGGTCCTTCAACGAGGACCCCAAGCGGTGTGACCCACTTTTCATCAAAGGAGGGAAACAGTGGCACCTGTATCGACAAGAATTTTCGCGCTATGTCCGTTAACACGACCCGAAAGGAGTAGATTTTGTTGATGCATTGGACGGATGGGGCATGCCACAATGTTCGACGAGGGTTTGTAGTACACCTTGACATTGTGGCGAGCTCGTCCAAAGGATTCAGATTTGGTCCACCACACATGGTGTCCCTTGTCCCAAGACGCCAGCACAACCCATCCACGAAGCGATTTGAACGTTTCGCCCTTTACTGTACGAGTCACCACGGCGACCGCAGTCAGGGGTGCTCTTGAGTACAACGACTCACAACATGAGTACAGAAGGCAATGTTTCCAGGCCACAGTAAACGACTGAGAATTTATCTCGTAACGCTTCGATGGATATAGCATCAAGTGGGTACGATCGAGGTGCAAACATTGACTTTTTATTAAAGAAGAGGCAAACAAACAAGAGATTTTGCATTCAGCAAGCTTCTCTAGCTTTAGTAAATCATCGTCACATAAAGCATATGCCTCATCCCCTCGATCTATCTGACCAACTAGGTACCCACACCCTAGTTGGACTTCTGAAAATCCTTCTTACTGCCAGAAGGTCCTTCGCCGCCATTGTTGTTGCCCTTAGGCTTACCACTATGCTTTATGATATTCCTATAGCGGCACTGAAATTCCATGTGACCACGGTGGCCACACCCTCGGCAGACGACATTAGAGAAGTCCCTTGGCGGCCCTTTGTAACCGCCACCATTCGCCCTCTTAGCCGGAGGACGCTGCTGGTTACCATTCTGGTGGAAGGGCCTCTTGTACCCATGGCCCTTCCCCTTGGAATTACACTGGCCACCACCACCATTGCCACCATCACCCTCGCCTGAGTCCTCGATCAGGCTGGTTGGTGGAAGGCGTTGCTAGCATACGAACAGTCTCGTCCGTTACTTGAACCGCCTCTTTGAGCTCCTGTAGGTGCTCCCATTTGTTGAGGCCATTTGCGACATGCTTATCCTGGCAAGACCTGGGGCAAATTCTGGAAGAAGATATACATAACTTCTTGGGTGCCCGATGGGCCAGCAGTAGTGGGTGAGTGTTGGTAGATAGGATCTGCCGAATATCCCGGTACTGGTTATGCAGGTGGGCAATAGCAGGTGCATCGGGGCGATTGTAGATTGCAGTTGGGCAGTTGTAGTCTGCAGTTAGGTGATAGCAGCTTGCAGCTGGTCGCACGTTTTCTCCAGGGCCTGGATTTGATTGCCCCTGTTATGTAGCAGACGCTTGTGATCCCGTACCTCTCCATATGCCATATTGAGATCGGCTTGCAGCCTAGTCGTGTCGGTCTTTTGTGTCGCCAAAGCAATATTGAGGAGCTGATGTGTCCTTCTGTTGATTGATTATAAGCTGCTGCTTGGAGACTTGTGCCTGGAGTTTAGCCACATCATCGGAGAGCGACCATTCCTCGATGCCATCATCCTCCCCTCTGCTCCATCAATCCCTTCTGCTTCTCCATGCTCTTCATTTCCCTCATTCTCCAAATTTAGGTCCACCAATTCAATATCAGCCATGGCCTCATCTTGCTGTTGGTTATTACTAGCAGCAAGGTTGGCTCCCTCAGGAGTCACATTAGGCTCCTCCCTTTCCAAGTTCTCCAAAACTTGACTTGAAGTCATGGTAAAACAAGGAAGATATTTCAACAGATCTGAAATGTTCTTTAAAATCTCTTAAGAAATCTGTTCAAGTCCAATCACTGCAGTGAGAGGGCAAGACAATCTCTATAAAGAGATCTCTTAACAGAATAACTTAATAAGAGAAATTACAAGAAATACAATCTGTTGCCCAATCCTAGCACCTCAATGCTAGGGCAAGATCTAAACTAGATCTTGCAACAGATCGCAGATCTGAGCCACACTCCTCAAGGGAGTCTTCACCAACAAGGTGGGTAAGAGAGAAAATGTTCTCTTTTCAAATCTTGAATGGTGGAGATAGGAGAAGAGGTTGTGCTGGTAAATTGTCTTGAGAAGTGGAGGAATTGATGAAGATCTTGAAGAAGCTCTTCAAAATGACTTGGAGAAGCTTGAGATATCTTGAAATCTTCACTCCAATGTCTTGGATTGAAGTCCAATCACCCCTCAAAAAAAAAAAAATCAAGAAAAATCCCACAAGGCTTAAGATTAACCTGGCTCTAATATCAAATGTAACAATCCTTGCCTTATATCATGGGCAACAAGGGTTGAAGTCCAAACCCAACATCCAAGATCCTAGGATATAAAATGGAGTACAAAATCAACTAACGATCCCTAGCGTAGTATTTAGGAGGAACCTCCTCTAAGAGATAGCTTAAGCTTGAGGAAGGCCCTTGAAGAAAAGTGGTTGAGACTCTGGTTGGGTAGGGCTTCCCCTAGGAGATCACATTAGAAGCCACTAGTGTAGGGAAGCTTGTGAGGAGAGCTCATGACTTAGAGAAAATCCCATTTCAAGATTGATTTCTTGGAGTGGGAAGTTGAGAATGAGCTTCTCAGCTCAGACCCCTTCCAATGACTCCCAGCAGCTGCTCAACTCCTCCATGGCTCCAAGGAGGTGAGCTAGCTTATGTGGCAAAAGGGTTGGATTTCCAACCAATTAGAGGTTTACAGCAATATATTCAGATTAGCATATAGTGTACAGCATAAGAATATTCGAGTTGAGTTGGCACTGGCAACCAACTCCCTGGTTCTGATTGGTCGCAAATCCAACCATCGCGTGAGTTGGGAATTTCGCCAACTCAATTTGTACAACTAAAATCTGATTGGTCCCAAGTGTCGACCAATCCCAATCCTCCCTCCCAACCCTTCCTTCCCATTTTGTGCTACCTAGCATAGGTAGCCGATTTGTGGAAAGCGGTTGGGAAGGTCGTTTTTAGGCCCGCGTACTGTGCAGAGGCCATGCGTTACAGCACTAGTCTTCCAGCAAGATGCCCCTCCCTTGGCGCTTGGTGGTCCAAGGTGTGGCACAATGATGAGCTGCAATAAGGGAACCCACCTGTTTGGCTGCCCTCGTGCTACCAGCCGTCCCTTCTCTCTGCACGCCGTCCACTTTCGACGGCGTTTCTCCATCTGGTAAGGACCGTGTACTGTCACTCCCTCCCATCTCCCTGCTCTCTCCCCCGCTCTCTCTCTCTCCTCCACTCTCTCTGCTGCACTCTCTCTCTCTCTGCCGCATTCTCACTCTGCAGCTCACTCTCCCTGCCACACTCACTTTCTGCTACACTTGCTCTCTCTGTTGTGCCTCTGCTGCACTCTCTCGTTGTTGTGCCCTCTGCTGCACTCTCTCTCTCTGTTGTGCCCTCTGATGCACTCTCTCATTGTTGTCCCCTCTGTTGCACTCTCTCACTGTTGTGCCCTCTGCTGTACTCTCTCACTGTTGTGCCCTCTGCTACACTCTCTCACTGTTGTGCCCTCTACTGCACTCTCTCTCTGTTGTGCCCTCTGTTGCACTCTATCAATATGGTGCCCTCTGCTACACTCTCTCTCTGTTGTGCCCTCTGCTACACTCTCTCTCTGTTGTGCCCTCTGTTGCACTCTGTCTCTGTTGTGCCTCTGTTGCACTCTCTCACTGTGGTGCCCTCTGCTGCACTCTCTCTCTGTTGTGCCCTCTGCTGCACTCTCTCGTTGTTGTGCCCTGTGCTGCACTCTCTCTCTCTGTTGTGCCCTCTGCTGCACTCGCTCACTACTGTGCCCTCTGCTGCGCTCTCACTCTCTGTTGTGCCCTCTGCTGCACTCTCTCTGTGTTGTGCCCTCCCCTGCTCTCTGTCCGCCCTTCGTGTTCCACCCCCCCACCCATAGTGCTGCCTCATTCTTACCCTCACCGGCAATAATCTGGCTTCCCCAACCCCCATTCTTCCCCCTTCATTCCATCCACTCCCCAATCCATCTCCGTCACCTCCTGTCTGTAGGAAAGCTGTGTGTGCAGGGCACAGCCATGGGGTTCAAATGCCCAAGGTGTGGCATTGACAATTTCTCAACACGGCAGGCACTTTATGGCCACATGCGTAGCCCAGTTTGTGCTGCCACGGAGGCCGCACGCCGAGCCATACGCACGTCCCCTGTGCATAAGCGCTCCAGGCCTAGCGATGTTCCATCGTTATTTTTGCCTCATGCCGCGGCTGATTGTATAAACGAGCGCACCAATGAGCAAACTGAGAGTGGTGGGCAAATTGACCCAAACGAGAACGATGGGTTAGACAGTCATGACGGCATGGTGCCGCCCAGCTTTCATAGCGATGGCCATGATAGCGCAAGCGATGGCGGCAGCGAGAACGCTGACCTGCCGGTAGATGACTCGGTGTCAGAGGCAAGTGCTGCTTGGGAGGAAATGCAAGGGGGGGGGAGCGGCAAGCGGAACAAGGGAACATTGAAGCCCCGCCCCTTGACACTCGTACTGCACTAGCACATTGGCTATTGTCCAACCGCTTGTCCCACCAACAGGTGAACACGTTGCTGTCTATCCTCCGGAACAAGGACCTGGACCTGCAGGAGCTTTCGGCCTGGAAAAGCGTGGAAGATGTCCAGGCGTATGCGGAATCCAAGGCACCAGACGCTCATCGGAAGTGGAGGCGGAAGTTGGTGCGCTCCGGGAATAAGGCTTGGCTCGAGTATTGGCTATGTGATGGGCTAGTAGCACTGCAGGACCTCCTAAAACACCCGCAGCTCTCCCGACGCATGGTGATGCAAAGTGCTCAAATTTATGCTTGGGCGAACCATGTATACACCACCCCGCAAACAGGATTGTGGTGGGAGACGTTGCAAAAGGAGGTGCGCAAGGTGGATCACGAAGGGGTGGTCGCGGCATTGACCCTATCAAGCGATGAAACCCACATGGACCACGAGGGAAAGCGAAGGGCCACCCTGTCTACCTGACTCTCGGCAACATAGACAAGGATGATCGCTGGCAACCGTACGGCCACGTCCTGCTGGCTCTCCTGCCTGAGTTCCCACCCAAGTACACTTCCTTAGATAAGACAGATGTGTTCCAGTTTGTCATGAACGATGTCTTAGAGGGGTTGAAGAAGGCCTCCTTCACGGGAGTGAAGATGAGGGATGCAGAGGGAGAAGTGCGGCATGTGTGGCCAGGTTTATATGCGTATGTGTCCGATTACCCGGAGTCTTGCAAGATCACTTGCACGAAATCGGGGAATACGGCCTTTCCGTGCTTGCTGTGCAAGGTCAAGAGGGAGAAACTCAAGACCTTCGAGTTCCGCATTGATGCACGGACGCCGGCGGAGCAGGACCGCATCGTGCAAGGCATAAAGGAGGGGAGCATTGATCCGGATAAGGAGGGGGCCAGATCAACACACCCTGT